AGAATACTCTGCTATACTGTTAAAATTAGTCAACATATTTACAGCATGCAATTTTATTATTTAATTCATGTGTAACGCTCATAAAGATCTTCAAATGTTGACCATTTGTTGCACAGACAATAAAATAACGTGGGAGTGAACGAACAAACGTCGCAACACTTTCCAGCTAAGCTATCACCCTTTTCAGCTTACTAATGACTTTAAGCAGATCAGCAAAGGCCGGATCGTCGTCGAGACATTCTTCCAAGCGAGACTGCTATTTCTTCGCCGCAGTGTGACAGTGTACGGTCTTTTCTGCCGGTCTTCTTGCACTTTACTGTTACGTTACTGTCACTTCTATGAAATTCAGCGCATTCAGGAATCACTGCGGGGGATCAGCACTCTAATATGCCTTGCACCACGCAAGCTTATTTTCCCTTTCACTAACCAACCTCAATCTATCTATTTTATAATGGATACAAATTCCTTTGGAACGTCTGAAAGCAGCGAGTGCCACATCCCTATCGAGGCTTTCGTTTCTTGCTCAATGCATCTCCTCCACTGCTCACGTCCGTCTTCTGTTGGACTGTCCTTGCCGATGATACAACAGCCTAGAAGGTCGTCCCTGCCGATTCTGAAACAACTCTTTTGTCGAAGAAGTAGCTACAACAAAGCGGCTGCTTTTACCTGTCCCAATCCATAACCTTAATCAAAAGATTGGTGCTATTGATTGAGGCTTTGGGAATATCCAGTGTCAAATGCTCATAGTACACTGGATGGAGATTTGCTCTTTTGATCGAAGTTTTTTTCGACCTGATTCGCTTGATTCCATTCAGCTGGATTATTTTGACGTACGGGTCTAAATATCGGTGTAAATGTTTTTTGCTCACATCAATTAAAATATTACCTGAGGCACCAGTTATGTCCATGGGACGCAAATTGTATGCCTTGGCTACCGTAATCAGGAGTTTTTCTTCATCTTTGTTTAATGACAGATACAATAACAGTTCTCCGAAGTCGTCTTTTGTCTAAAGTTTAAATAATGATTAATCATATAAGCAAACTTCATGCCCAAAAGTTGAATAAATTTAGCATAAATCGAAATAGCGGCTCAATGCTCACTGCGAATGAAGTTAATGCGCTGTTGTGTTTCAGCATTTAAAATAATTTGAGAACGTTAATTGCACAATGATTGTGCACCTTTGCTCTGATATCAACTAATAGGTTACGGCATAATGATACAATGCCTAAGATGGCGGCTGAAAAAACCAGAAGTACCTTGTTCGATTCTAGCTCAGAAGCGATATTTGTTTTAAATAATAAACAAATTATCCTAGAAATTTACGGCAGGTTGCTGTAGACCGGGGTTCCTTACTCAGTATGCATGTATGTATGTATGTATGTATGTATGTATGTATGTATGTATGTATGT